CCCCCGCCAGAGGCAGCACAGCCAGGCTGACCTGCCTCCTTCTGCCCTCCACCCCCAGAAGCTGCAGCGGGAGAAAGAGCCCAGTAACTTGAACGACACCATCAAGGAGCTGTTCCAAGTTGTGCCTGGCAATGCGGATCCACTGCTGGCAAAAAAGTCAGTGAGCTGCAGGCGCTGTGCTGTTGTGGGCAACTCGGGCAACCTGAGAGAGTCCCAGTATGGGCCTCAGATAGATAGCCACGACTTTGTGCTGAGGTGAGTGCTCGGACCCTCACCCCAGGCCCACCTTGCTGCTCCCCAGCACCCCCAGATGCTGAAGGAGGCACCTTGGCTCTGGGCCAGGAGGTCAAGGTCCTAGCCCTGGTGTGCTCAGACTTATCTGGGGAACACAGGCCCCTTGCTGCACCCTCTGAGCCTCAGTTTCCCCATTTGTGCACTATAAGATGGAGACAGACTCACAGTGCCTCTCTGGATGCAGTGGGCCAGGAGGTTGGCGCCAAGAGCTCTGTTAAGATGGCAAGATGACTTTGAAGACCCTTTGAATCTTTAAAATTTGTCCCATTTTAGCCCTGGCTGGTTTGGCTCAGTGGTTAGAGCGTCAGCCTGGAAATGAAGGGTCCCAGGTACAATTCTAGCCAAGGGAATGTACCTCGGTTACAGGCTCGATCCCTGGCCCTGGTTGGGGCTCATGCGGTAGGCAACTAGTTGCTGTGTCTCCCTCACATCGATGTCTCTCTCTCTCTCCCACCCTCTCTGAAAAGCAATGGAAAAAACATCCTGGGGTGAAGATTAAAAAAAATTATTCCATTTTGCAATCTAGGCCATAATATAACAATATGCTTTTAATGTAAAATATATTTCCCTGTCACTAAGTGAAACACATTCCAGGAAGATGCCCCATGTCTCTCTGGGTTTCTTGTAACCTCCATTCATTCGACCCAGAGGAACTGGTGCCTGAGAGCGAGAAGCATAAGCAGCGGTGGGCTGGCGATCCCCAGGCGCCTGCTGGAATCTTCCCGGGGCTGGCGATCCCCAGGTGCCTGCTGGAATCTTCCCGGGGCTGGCGATGCCCAGGCGCCTGCTGGAATCTTCCCGGGGCTGGCGATCCCCAGGTGCCTGCTGGAATCTTCCTGGGGCTGGCGATCCCCAGGCGCCTACTGGAATCTTCCCGTTTCTGTGATCTCTGGCTTTGCATCCTTAGACCACTCACCTGGCCTCTCAGAGCCTCAGCATACACCTGGTTCAGCGGGGATGTCCACGGTGAGGGGGACGGAGTCAGGTTCAGGGTCAGACAGACCCACTTGAGGCTGCCACTTGGTAGCTCCGTGTCCTGGGACAGATCCTTTGTGTTCAGATGTCTTTGACCATAAAACACCTGCTGGACACGGTTATCATTACAGTTTAATGAGGCGTGTCACTTGGCCACGGCAGTGCCTTGCTCTTAGTAGCTCGTCAATGGCAGCAATAGTTAGGCTTACTTGAGATCATAAAAAAGAAAACAAACACAACTCTTTTGAGCTGTGTGTTAACTGTCTCCATTTTACAGATGAGGGAGCTGGCAGAAGGAGGGCACTGGCCCGAGGTCACAGCGGATCCCTGGAATCGGTGACCAAGTGATACGACGAATGTTCTCTCCCTTCTCCCAGGATGAACAAGGCCCCAACCGAGGGGTTTGAGGCTGATGTGGGGAGCAAGACCACCCACCACCTCCTGTACCCCGAGAGTTTCAGGGAGCTGGCCGAGAACGTCAGCATGATCCTGGTCCCCTTCAAGACCCTCGACCTGGAGTGGGTGGTCAGCGCCACCACCACGGGCACCATCTCCCAGTAAGTTCCCTTGGGGCATCTGGACAGAGGGTCCCTTGCCTGGCGCCTCACTGCTCCTCCTCGCCATGTGGGTGCTTCCTGGTGCCCCACCATGATATTCCCTGCACTACAGCCTGGCTCATGCTGTTCCTTTCCCTCAAATGCCTCCCTCCGCACACTTCCTCCTGGGATGCACCAGCCCCACAGCCCACAGGCCACCTCTGACTCTCCCCTCTCCCTGACCCTCACCTCCCATCACTCTTAACACACCCTGGCCTTCCACCTTTTCCCCTTCATGACCTCCAAGGGGACCACGGTGTGCTTCCCAGAAACCCTGGTCCTCCCGGGGAAGGGACCCGCTGGAAAGGGCTCAGCACACCTTAGCTCTGACCCCTCACCTCTGCAGTGCTCCTGGGTGTGACAACCATCTGCATCTCAAACTAAAACTGTCCCTGGATGGGGTGGGGGCAGGTGGGAAGATGGGGTGCTGAGCACGTCAGCTGGGCATGAGTCATCCATCGTGTGCTGCCTTGAGACTGGGGAGCTCACATCTTCTGGACACTGCGCTTGGCACCGGGCATGTGCTGCCTGACTGAATTGTCACAACAGTCATTATCACACCTCCCTCTGCCTGGCGGGCCCTGAGCTTGGCTGGGCAGCGCACCAAGGCCAGATTCCACACACAGCCAGGCTCCCACCTGGTCCGCTCCCAAAGTCCCTACTGTTCCCCAAGAGAAGTGGCTTCAATGTCCACATGGCAAAGCTTCCTGTGTGAGGCCCAGAGAGGACTGGGGTGCAGGACACGGGAGGGGGCGCTGTGCTCTCAGGAGAAGGGCAGTGAGGGAAGCTGGCTCCGCAGGGGAAACTCCACCTGGTCCCAGAGTTAGATGCCAAGTGAAGCCAGGTGACCTTCATCTTGGAGGCACCTAGGCCCTTGCAGATAAAAAGGAGGCAGTGTGGGCCTCACCAGCCAGCACCCCAACAGTGGGGGCAGGTGCTCTTTCAGGCTGTGTGGGGGGCTTGGACCAAGTCCCCCTTCTTAACCTTTCTGGGAGAAGGCGCCTGAAACCCCAGATGGCCCTCGAATGAGCCAAGATCGCCCTCTGGTGTCTATCGTGGGCCACTGCAGGGCTGTGGCAGGGAGGCTCTGTGCGTCCCCACTCAGCCTGGCCTGCTCCCCTCCCTGTCACCCCCAGAGCTGCCTCCAGGCAGCCGGGCCTCTCCCCACGTTGCCCATGTGCTCTTTCTCCCCCAGCACCTACGTTCCTGTCCCCAGGAAGATCAAAGTGAAGAAGGATCAGGTGAGTGGTGGCTCAGGCCCTTTGACCCCTGAGCTTAGGCTCATCTGTAAGGCTCTCCCTGGAGAGAGAGCATCCTGTCTTCTGCCAGCATCTGGCTGCAGGGAGCCCCTGGGCGCTGGGCTGGTGGAGGTCCCTGCTGGAGGGACCAACCCTGGGCAAGTTTCTCCACCTGGGGACCCCGGGCCAGCAGCATCACCTGGGAGATTGTCATAGATGCAGACCTTCAGGCCCACCCCAGACCTACCTAGATTTTTAGGAGGCCTCCAGGGGTGCCCATGAGGCTGCAGTTTGAGAACTACGGTGTGAGCTTCTCAAAGCCGGACCACACCATCTTCTCCCAGTGTGGGGTTGGCCAAGACTTGGGCAGAGGGCAGAAGGACGGAGGCAGTGGCCACCACACTGGTCCTTTCATGCTCGCTCTTATTTAAATGGCAAGATCAGGGTCAGAGAGGTCAGGCAACGTGCCCAGAGACCCACAGCTAGTTTGTGACGATGCCAGAACTGAAGTCCTCCCCTGCCTCCAGCACCTGCCAGTTGTGGGGTCCACTACTGCAGGGAAGAAGACACACGTGACTGTAGGGTGGAGCTGGTGGCAGGGAGGACCTCCCAGACAGGGGGTAGCTTGAGGCCAGGCTAGAGCTGCAGAGGTCACAGGAGAGGAGCACAGTCCCCCTTCTACACCTCTCCCGGGGTGGGGGATGGTGCTTTAGGCTTCCTGGGCTGCAGGGAGCCCCTGGGCCCTGGGGGGGGG